CTCACATTCTCCAAGTCCTTGCACCGTGTCCGGCCTTCTCCTCCGATTTGTCTCCTACCTGGGTGACCTGGGGCATTGGCTTCTTGACGCTTTCGCACAGCCATCGCTCGCCTGCGCTATGCAACTTGCAACACCTCCCTACCGCACCTGAAGCCGGCGCAGTGCCAATCGCGGGCGGGCCGTTTTGGCCACCCAATGGCGGTAGCCGGTCTTCCTGGCAGCGGGCAAAAAATGTTCTGCCGCGGCTCCTCATCACAGTTGCTGGGTAGGAGGTTGTGGCTCTTCAGGTTTTGCACATTTAAAGCCGCTCATTCTGGCCGCCTGTATTTACAAGGGACTAGTGGAAATAGAGACCTTCAAGCCAGCATGAGCAGAACAATCGCCATTCTCCAAAGTCTGTTTCTCCTTCTTCCTCAAGTGCAGAACATCAACATTGCACAAGCACAAAACCTCACCATCACGGACCATCACCCTCACCTACTAGCTAGTTACAGCCATCACCACCAGTCATCCTCGTCTTGATCCTCATCCTGCTCGTCCCCGTCGTCATCCGAAATCAGAAATCAGCTCGTTGCACGTCCGTTCCAATTGCGTTGTACTATAGCTGTTCATCTGGACATGACCATGGACTCATTGAAATTACTTTTAATTGTCATGCTGACGATGATGGGGAGACGACACAGAAGCAAGACGGCAGCGACTGCGCTGATCTGCGTCGATGATTCGTCTCTACTCGACTATCCCTCAAGCACAACCATGATCGCAGATGCTGGCGATCAGTGATCAGTGCGGGTTTTGCCAGATGCTCTACATTTTTCAGCCTGAAATTAAATCAGCGGGTCTGGGAGATGCCGACGACATCCGACGACGATGCCTATAGGACTGGAGATGAGGACACGGTACTGCCAAACTCTGTAACATCGAAATTCTAAAGTGCCAAAGACACACCAATCATGTATTCCCAATGTGGGTCCTATCTACGCCGATAACTCGTCAAGTTGGATCCCATTCTCGCAGCCGGAAAAGGTCGATGCACTCCACGTGGGCCTTCTGCCGATCTACGGCCTGAACCCTTGCTTCCAAAACCCTAAAACCCTTTCAAGTCTGGAAGCTTTAAGTGCCCATGCATCTCCTGTCAAGTTCACGTTTGAGGCACGACTCACACTAAGGAAGCACAGCCGGAACGGCTGAACATCCCGCCAAACTCCACCCCGCAGGAGGGTCTGAGTGAACGATGTCAAACCGAACCGATAAGCCGATAAAGCTATCGATCCGAACTTCCTACACCCCGACAGAAACGAAAGGAGGTGCCTTTCGGTCTCCTCGGGTGCAGGGACCACCGGTAGCGGCTGCGGCTGTGGCTCCGGGCGCGGCATCCGGGGAGGAGCACCGGCTCGGAATTTGAAGTCCTGTTAGAAGGATTCAGGTCTCATGTAAATTATCGGATATATGCAAGCTTTGCTCGGTAGTAGAGTTGAGTCGTGGTGCCGAGGCTGCGTCGGCCTTCTGCCGGACCGGGGCCATCAGACCTCAATTGTCATGCACCGAAGTCGTGGCTGTGAAAGTTGAGGGACGACCGGGTTAAGTCCTGCAGTTCCCATAGTCATTTGGAGAAACTGACTAGATGACTAGATCATGGCGGTGTTGACGCAGGACCTTGGCGGTGTTTCCCAACATCAGTGCGATCCGCTATCCTGCAGATATTACAAACATTTTCTTTCTTAGGCAACGGCCGACTCATTGACCCGAACATCCGGAAGTGCATCGAACTTTCAGGAGCCCAGTCGCCCTGAAATGAGACGGATTGCAACCCAAAGCATACATCGCCCGTGAGAGCAACACCACAAAATGTACTGCGAGCTGCGGCTGAACCTCGAAGTTCTAACGAGAATCCCCAGCTTCAGCTTGGGGCTTTTCTATCTCTATACTCCTGGCCTGCCAACAATGACGGAATCTTTGTCGCGCTTGAGCCCAGGACCCAAGAACACTTGCAGCTGTACCCTGGCCCATGCTGTCATCCTTGACCTTCCGTGTGCTTAACTGATCCGCTCAGAACCCATATCTGCTTGCAAACATGAAGCGATCGAAGATCTTCGCGGCCTTGCCTGGCAACTTGGCACGGAGCTTATATGGTTTGCAGCTTGATGTGAATTGAATTTTCTTGGCGTTTGGCGGAGTTGTTGAATATGGCGCTGAGGCTGCAAAACAACATGCGTCAATTACGGTGTCTTCTGCTTCTAGACACAGGAGAAACAGGAAATGCCAACCGGCGGCTGTAACAAACTGCTATCATAGATGTTCAAGGTCACCTATTACAACCGCAATTCAACTCCCGGAAACCTGTGCATACCCCAAGTACGCCCAGTAGATACTAAATCACTGCGTAGTTCTACTCTTCCTCCGCCCAGCGGAACTCGCATGCACAAAGCCGTAGCGGCAGAAAAACCTCCACAACCCTCACCTCTGCTTTGAGCCGGGGCTGCAACGCACATGCCCTGATCCCCCACTTTGACCCTGAAGCCCTAAATCCCAGAAAACCCTGGATCGAAGCCTATAACCCAGGAATTAATGCTGGGGGTCTATAGGGGTAGAGAAAGGAATGCCAAAACAGGACCTTTTGCTTCCTCCCAAAGCAGAGGCGCCTCCGGGAGGACCCCAAAGAGATGCGGCCACCTGAGGGCTTTTTATGTACTATTGATGCCCTGTGCACAATGTCCGGCGATTCAGAAACACATATCAGCCCTTGCACAGGCATGCCAGCTCGCAGCCGAGTCCAGACTCACTTATAGCATGGCACATGTAACGTACAAACAGTCTCCCAGCATCTGTGGCAAGTGCGTGCAGCCGTTCCAAGAGACTTCACTGCGAAGTCCCCCAGCGTCAGCTGTGGGGAGGTGTGGTGTGACGGTAAACAGCCTTCATTTTTGCCTCTTTCCAACCTGTCTTGTCCTCAGGCGAATCACCGTTTCGCCCGCGCCGTCGCGAAGGGTCAGCTGACGCGTGTCGGCAAGCAGGCAACTACGCTGCCTTCACCGTAGCCTCTTTCCGCATCAGCATAGCCTCTTTCCATATCAGCAAAGGTCGGTCGACGAAGCATGTTTCTGCCGCAAGCAATGCGGTGAGGTCAATTCTAGGATTCCAATACTCATAGGGCCGAGTGGGAGACGCCTGAACTCTTGGATTGGACCCTGCACCCGTCGTCCGAGGGCCCAAACCCGGATACCTATACCCCAAAGCCACGTATGCGATCAAAAACCCAAAATTGACGTGGAGCGTCTCGGTTGCTTGGCGAGGGCGTCTGGGCTTCTGGGCTTCGGGTGTGTGGCCTTTGTGAGCTTAGCGTCGGGTGAGTAGGTGACACGGTGCGTGAGACCTTCGAGTTCCTCATTGACGTCTTCTTGGTATTGACTATTGCAAGGCCACCGGGTTGCGAGGTCAAGGTTTGAGCTTCGAATTCTTTGCCTTGGGCCTATGCGGTGGCTTGCTAGCCGTTCTGATTTCCAGGGGATGGACCAGTTGAAATCGGCAAGGGACGGTGCGGTGGCCCTCAGCAAGTTTAGAATTTAGAGGTGGCCAAGCGCGGGATAGATCGCCTGGGAAAGAGCCGGGTCAATTCGATATTCCTCTGATTAAAACTCTGACAAGCAGATGAAGCTACTAAGCGCCTCCCCGGAAAACCTAATGAAGCTCAGCTGCCTGATTCTTCGCAATGTCCGGGAGCACAGATCGTGGTTTGGCGTCATCGGACTCCGAGCCTGAGACGGCGAGCTGCGATTTTCCGAAGCCAGCGTAGACTTAGCTTCCCAACCCGGGAGAGTGTCAACTCTCGAGGTTGGAAGTGTCGCGGCGCTGGGTCTGGGTCTTAATATGTCCAACTTCGCAGCCAATTTCCCAATTGAGTTAATGCGGGGCTGCGAGGATTGCGTTGTGCTACGAACCTTACTAAGTGTATTCCTTTTTTGAACGAGGTCTCTCTGAAGCTAATGGTATTCCTAAACACATGACTGCGTGCTAAAAGTGTCATAGCTCTTAAGTATTGCAATTGTTGACTGTCACTGTTGCCGATGCTACTACCTTCACACTTAGGTCACTGCTACTGGTAATATTTCTATTAGCAGTGACATTTATTGTTACTGCTATTGCTATGGCTAATACGACTATGATTTCCCGGATCACTGTCATGCTTCATTGCTGTTGCTGTTGTTATGCTTGTGGTAATGGTGGTGGTGGTAGTAGTAGTAGTCGTCGTCGTCGTCGTGGTAGTGGTAGCAGTCCTCGTCGTCGTAGTAGTAGTAGTAGTCGTCGTCGTCGTCGTCGTGGTAGTGGTAGCAGAAGTCGTCGTCGTAGTAGTAGTAGTGGTAGCAGTGGCAGCTGTAGGTGTAGTAGCAGCAGCAGCCGTAGATCTGCTACCACCATGCAGCCTTGCCGCCTGAATCCATGGTAGAGGAGAGGCAGGCCACATTCACCAGGCAGATCCCATGGCAACGACAGGTCCGCCAAATAGTCAAAGACAATCCAGGGTGGCTGATGAACTCTGACTCTTGGTCTGGTTGGCTGGTGCTGACCCCGACTCGAGGCCTAAATGCAGATGGCCAGTCGACTGAAGATCTTCGAAAACAAATATAATACGGGAAATCTTGAGCCATCGTGCCATGTAAGCCTAGTGCTGCAAGAAGCAAGGGCACGCTCTAGAACCTAACAAACCCAAGCCGAAACACACTAATGGTTAGGCGGTTAGGCAAACCAATCTTCGCAAGACTCCTGCCGGGGTTGGACCGAAGCCTGATGTTGTGAGAAGTCTCCTTTGCAGAAGCTCTCCAACGGCCGCGCAGATTCAGGCGTTCATGTCTGGGTTGAGCACGTGAGCGCACACACACACACAGACACAAACACACACACGCACACGCGCATCAAGCCCCAGGGATATACCAGAGCCGGGATAGACCGCGAAGGACCACAGAAGACCCCCGTAAGCCCATTGCATCCCCGGGCCGGTGCGCCTTTCCAATGCCTGCTGGAGCAAAGCTTCTGCAGCCTCGACGTCGCCGAGCTCTGCAGCGTCCCTGAGGCGGCCTCGATGTCTACTGTGGATCACAAAGTCGGGCTGAACACGTCTCGGACAAAGAACTCTCCATCACTGCTCGTCATGCTACTGCATTATCCTATGGTGGTTCTTGGGATGTAGTTGCTTCCTCGGTGTTTTGCAGTGTTCCCCTAAACCCTGGACAGTTGCCCAAACTTCAGAAGCCCATTTGGCAAGAGAGCCGGACAATCGAATCCAACCGCAATGAGACAACATGGGCCATCCATCACTCACTCAAAGTGCCAGAGACTTAAGTTCGGACATTCGGGCGTGCCCTTTCCGCAGGAGTCCTTCCAATCAGGAGCTGTGGTGAAACACCCAAATGACCCCGTAGATGTCACCAGTCCGACTTTGAGATTTGAGCCGAGGCACCCAGGAGCTCTGCCTGAGACTTTGGGGCTTGGGGCGTAGCTAATCATTCATATAGGGATATAGCAAGTCAGGAGTTGGCTTCGACGTCTTGCGCTTCAACTCAAAATCTTCAACTCCGACGACATGCGCATCGACAACTTTACTCCGACGGGGTTGGGCTTGTAGTGCCCTCCCCTTAGCTATCACCTTTGCTTGAGTGCCGCTCGTCGGACACTAACCTTTTCTAGGACCGTTGAAAGGGAGTTGACTAAGGCACGGATCCCGTTTTGAGGTTTAGGGACGCCCCAGACAAGGCCAAATCAGGATCCTGATTTGATGTTCAATCCCCGAAACCTCATGAGTCTCATTGAGAACAAGCACCCCGTCAAAGAACCCAGTGATACTTCGGAAGACCTGTTTTCGCTGTTGGGTTTAGGGCTCGGCTTGGGGCAAGGTCTCAGTTCATGTGCGAAGCGGCTCGGAAACATCCTGGGGACCTTTGCGAACGTGCACGTTTGTGGCCCGAAACTTTGTTGGATCGGATTCAGATCGGTTAGGAATCGATTCGGGACATAATGGGCCGCACCGGTTTGGAAGCCAAAAGCTGGGGGAAGCGGAACTCGGATAGCACCGAGCAGGGTTTTCAAAACAGGTTTGGTGCATGGTTCTGGGCGTGGGCTTTGGACAAACAGGTCATGCAAGTTGTCGCAGCTGCGTGAGGTTGAGCCTACAATAATGATAACAAACTCACGTGGTTGGGAGTACATCCTACAGACGCCATAGAGCGGCCACGAGGCGTATCCGAAGCCCGTCATGGTGCGGGCTTGGCGCTGCGTCCTGGAGGCTGAGCGCCGTGCCCCCCCTTTCCACCAAACCTTCTCCAGATGAAATTTTGCTTAATGATTGATTGAGCTCTCTACTGTGAGTAATTACCAGAGTTGAAGGCACCCAATTTCTGATAGCACTTCACTACACTCCCTGCACTTCACGAACTTATTAAGCCAACACTCTATGAAGCGCAATGCAAGCCAACACGGGCTGGAGAAGATGGGGACAGAAAGTAACACTCTGGACAGGAAAAGGGCTGGTATAAGTGCGAACTGACGAAACTCCATTCAGAACAAAAGGCGCATGGCACAAAACACAGTTTCTGGGATGTGTACAGGTGGCCTTGCTGACGTTTGGCGATGAGTTTTCAATGTCTAACTGGCGAAGCTGTCGTTGCGAGCGATGGAGATGATGACGTCGATGATGTTCTTCTTAGTTGTGGTGAGCACAGTGCGATGGGTATGTTGCGGCAGTTGCGAAGAACCTTTGCAGCGCAAAGGCCGGCGCGAGTGCGAGTGTGGGGCTTCAGGGGTGAAAAGCGATGACGCCAGTGCCCATGCCGGCAACCATGGACACCATGAACGGCTTGACGACATGCAAACAACGATGACAAGTGTGATGATGAGGATATTGGTGACAAAGGTAGTGTTGGAAAATGGGTGGGCATGCTACAAGTGGTGCTGCCACTCATCTTGACGATAGGTATACCGTGCCAACATGATGTATTGACGCAGAATGAGGCTGTTTTCCGCAATGGTGGGGTCATTGCTATTGTTGTAATGGGTGTTCTCGCAGGAAGACGAGGACGAAGATGCTGTTGCTGGTGACGAGAACACGAATTGTAATGGTGAGGTCATGAAACATGAGGCTGTCTGCTCGTGGCGAGCCGCCTCGTGGCCCGCCAGAGGCTGAGGCCAAGCACCGAGCTGTGGAAGGCGACCCATCCCCGAGGCCGCTGAGGCCGCTGGTTCCTGGAAAGTGGCTGGACAGAAGCCAGGCAAAAACCCTGAACAAAGTGTCATTGATTGTTTTTTGGCTGATACGTGTAGGCTTCGACCACCCTGCAAGCCTCACAGTTCCACTGGGCACCAGCAGCGGCCCAGCCAAGGTCGGGTGCGCCGGTGGCGTCGCCAAGGCCATGAACCATGGGGGGTATTTGATTACAGGGCTCTGCAGCTAGGCTTGTGCTTGAACATTAAGAGCTCAGGGCTTCAGAGTCTGCAAGGCTTCAGGGCTTACTTATGTGTCTCAACGCCCAAATTCGCGAAGTGAATCTTAAGCTTCAGCCTCCACCCCACCCAATGCGGAGAACCTATGGCGACATGCACGCATAAGCTCAGCTTGGATTCTGGTAGGGCCTGCTACGATCAAGCCCCGGTTCATTCCGGCTAATGCCAAATTCTACAGAGTGGTGCCTAGATATCGGCTCGGGGCGGAGCAGCTTCGAAGTACGGCAATGCTTACAACCTGTAACCGGCTACAAAGGCTGCAATTCCACAGCAAGCCACATCGTCCCGACCAGGCCTCTGATTTTGTCTGAGACCAGCAGCTTGGCATTGGCGTGTCCAAAGCTGGCAAAGTACATTCCTAAGGTCCTAGACAGTCCACACCTTTGGCATCCTGCCTCTACATAGGACTCTCTGCGCCGGTGCACCAAACACGGTTTCCCTTGCTTGATGAACGCCCAACTCTCCCAGCACATCAACCCGGCGAATCTCACAAGAAGTCTGCCAGTTGTTTCGGTGTTGGTCGAAATCTAGGCCGACCCTGGTCGGGCAGCGCGGAGGCACAAACCACTCCCACCGTTCCAACGTCGTGATGCAGCTGGTTCGCGAACCTTCAGTCTGCTTCTCTCTTCTTTTCAGATACGGATGAACAAGTGGAGTTTGATGAAAGAGTGCTTAAAACAAGGTGCGTAAAGCTTACTTATTGTGGCCCCAAGGAGCTGCAGGCTGTAGTTCTGGTCTTGAGCATCGCCCCGGTAATATCTCTCCGGATTTCCCCAAACAAGATTGTAGTCGCCAGGGCGAAAAGCTTTGCCGGCAGGTTTCGCAGGATATGGTCTCAAGCCGATAAACCGATTGATTTCGCTCATTCGGATGCGCTTCTGCGTGGAGAACCAGCTGTCATTCGCATACAAAGCAGCATTACTGTTCTGGAACCCCCACGTCCGCGATGCTGTTGGTGGATACTTCGAGAACGCGCGGTCAAACTTGTCCCTGTCCACCTTGCTCTTGGATCCTCGAAGCAGTAGGTTTGCTAGACCCTTTCCGGCAGAGAATACCGACTTGACCGCACCCATGGCAAAGAGACAGCTCGCAGTTCAGTGATTCAGTGAGGCAAGACTACTATTAAGAATACATGTAAGTATGGCTGTAGCTGCTGCAGCTTCAATTCGCGACAAATTGGCTTCAATAGCACGCCTGGCTTGATCCACAATACCTTGCAGCTTGTCCGTAGCGGCTCCGAGCCAGCATCTCCCTAAATTGGTGGGCGAACTAACAGCCATGCTGGCCGGAATGACAGCGCGAAAGACACGGAACTAGCTATCGCCTCCTATCCCAACAAGAGATGGCCCGTGTACGAAATTCTTGTGACAGCAGAGGGTGATTCTTTCAGGGTTTGCTAACATGTCGCTCGATTGAGGGTCAAGATGCAGCTTGGAACACAAGCTCAACTCAGCGCTCTGTAACTGGTTGGTGCCACATCATCATACCTTTAGTTCTCGGGTTACGTATAGTCCCATGACCGGCAAGAGGTTGAGCACTCCCCATCATAGCAGAGGCTAGTCGAAAACTGCCCCAATTCGCGACCAGCTCCCCTAGAATATGGCTGATGGGAAGCCCACTCAAAACAAGCCTGGCCACACAGAAAGATTCCGTGCACCATCCCATGAGTAATGAAGCCGTAACGTCATCATAAGCCTGCCTAGTACGAATAGCAGTTGAAGAAACCCTGACCCCCCTGCGCACTTGCTGACGGGATCGTCGAGGTCGATTTGCCTGTTAAGGTCCCAAGTCTTAGCGGAATTGAAGCAAAACCGTGCAAATCCACCTGTTACGGTTCTTGGGCATATCCATGCACTCGTATGCTGTGGCGATGAAAGGGAGGATTGCGACGACGACGACTATGATGGTGATCATCATGGTTGGGGTGGTACGACGAAACCTACTTAGATCTTCGTAGTCCATCGTGTGCAAGCGCATAATGACGCGGTTTCTCCTCTCTTTCTCCCTGTTCTGATGTATCCCACTGCAGGAGGCAATCGTGCCAAAGGAGACTATTCAGTCGTCGACTCGACGGTCAGATAACCCGTTACACACTACAAGAGCGGCCCACAAAATGATGCATCTAAAGTCAGACTCGAGTTGCTTTGGGGACATGCTTGACGAGAGTTTTAGCAAATACTTACTGAATCACAGTCATAAAATTCGCATTGCTGTAGCAGTTACGCCGCTTTTATCACAAACCTATAACTTCATACAGCCTGACAGATTCAGCTGCCAACGCGACCATCTAGCTGCTTGCTTCCATACTCCGAAGCATGTCAACTTATCGCTCGGTGTATCCCACGTGCCAGGTGGTACAACTGTATTCTGACAGGGGAGACAACTGCTACTGCACCGCTGCCGCTGCTACTGCTACTACTAGTCCTATACTACGACGACGACTAGTAAGTACGACTACTGCCAATACGATGGTGGCGCCAACAACCACTTCTGCAGCAGCACTGAGGCCCACTTCCTGAAACCCGGGCTGTGAAAACAGCCTCTGCGGCTCCTATCCGTGCAGCAGCGGTTCCAATTCTAAGTATGGACTCGCGGACTCTCTCTCTCCCCCCCATCCTTCTCACTACCCAGCGAGCCCTTTCAAATACGAAACCCCTTTGCCTGCTGGGTTCTTCGAGGTATGTGCAGAAAGCCGCGGCCTTGCTTCTGTTGCACGAAGTTTTGATTCAGGATTCGGGTTTGTTGGTAAGCGAAGTCGGGGCTTAGGACGAAGCGGCCGTTGTCCAATACTAGCGAAAACCTTACACTGCAGCGCTCCACCCAAACCCCAAACCCTAAAAAATGTCTACGGCCACGAACTCAGGGCTTAGAGCATAAGCCCTCAAGACTTGGCGTTCATCTGCAAGGGGAGTTGGGTTGCGGCTTCGGTTGATATGCGAAAATGTATGCACCAACACCTGAAAGCCTGAATCGTTCATCATCGCGATATTGCTCTCGATCTCATACCCGTGATTTCTACGGGAGACATACCCCATGGCTCTGCTCTACAAGGGCGTGCATCGGATGTGCAATTCCGACACCAACAACGGAGACTAAGCCCTAGACCACCAAGCACTTCGTCATGGAGAAAAGACGGACGATAGTGTCGCCGGACATCTTCACCTCGATGTAACACATCTGATGGCAGTTCGAAAAACATGAACCATGTTCAAATCGCTACAGAGAGGACGAATCAGTTTCAACCAGACAAGCGTAAATACGCACAATCATCACGACGAAACACTCCTGAGGTCCAGCACAGCGACAAACACAAATACTACAGTAACATGCCAATCAGGAAGAAAAGCAGACGCACTCCATATACAAGTAACATGAACGAGCCATCGGCAAAGACATCTGAGGGGAAACCTATACGCCAAGGAAGACGATGATAGTCAGCGGAGTCAGTGGTAGTTACGGAAACTGAATCGGCAAAAATATTCTGCAGCATTAGTACGGACTGGGAACTTGCGAAATAATCGCCGCATCGATACACGTGCAGCTGCAGAAACTACAGGACAAAGCAGCAAACACCCAAACGCACAGGAAGCCACGTATGCCCGCACGTACAGAGCTCTCTGAACGTGATTGTTTGCGTGCGTATACTTGTATAAATGAGAACATAAATGTTGCTCATGTCTGCATGTGCATGCATACCTGCATATATAAAACTACACGTGTATTCATGTACAACTCCGAGCACATGCATGTCCTTGCAAACGCACGTACACACACACACACACCTATGTGCGCACATGCCCTCTACACAGAGTGTCCGAGACACCGTCCCCGCGCACACACTCGTGGATACATTTCAACACATGTGCGTAACGTGCACCACACTGATGTATACATGCATTCCCTTACATACGTACATGCGTAGCGGCACACGAACGATCAGGTGCGCATAGAATGGCCAAGCCAGGAAGTACCCTCCAAATCTGCACAAGGCGCCACAATCAAAGCGCTATTGCTGAGACCTATAGTTCGGGGCCTTCAAGTCTCGCGTTCGTGAAGCTTGTCACTGCCCGAGCTGTAAGCTTTGAACTGGAAGATTGGGAGATCAACGGCTTGGGAGCAAGGGCTGAAGAAGTGTTTCGTTTTCGATCTTTGACAGCGTTACAGGGTGAGTTCGCGGGTTGGGGAACATCGAGATATCGGGTTGCAGGCCGAACAAAGCCCCAACAAGGGCGAGTACTGTTGAGAACGCAGATATCCATGAGCCCTGCATCACCCGACGCACGGCCATGCTTACCCGAATGCAAACCAGCTAACGTGCACCCGTGTGAAAGCCAAATTTTCACCTGAACCTCTTAATTATAAGCCCCTAACGAAACAAAGGAAAGCCCGGCAACTGGAAACTCGCGAGAAAAGAGCCTACAATCTAACGCCATGAAGTCAAAACTAACCACAGAAATCCAACCCCCATCCCCCACCTAACGGGGTTCAAAAGGCTTTTGGAAACTAGTTCCTGCTTCGCAGCCAATGATGACATAAAGCTTTCTGGGGCTGCACTCCACGCTCACCGTCTTCTCCAAACGTGCCAACATGTGTTAGCCACGCTTTGCAGGAATGTTACCGAAAACCTGCGAACGGCCTGTCAAAGTGGCATCCTGAGCCATCCGCACAACCCCCGAAATGTCGCCAGAAGGTGTGGGAGGCTTTTCTGCGCAGCTTTGTTAAACACAAAAACTATTTTATGAAAATAACATTTCACTCTATTCAAAAGAAGACGGAACATTTTTATTGAAGCACAAACAATTTTTAAACAATTTCTTTCAAAACGGTGAGCACAACACAATAATCTAAATAAGCAGCAAACCAATCCAGAGTCGCTTTACGCTGTTGCCAGCAGACCTGCAAGCATTGTTGACGAATCCCTGTTGCTCTCCACATTGGGCCGGAGAAGCCAGCTATCTCCGCGGCAATGAAACCCAAGCGGGTACTGCCGGGCCGAAACATTTCAAACGACAAATGCGTATGAGAAAGCATAATGTTTCACTTGCATTTCCCGGGAAGAGACTGAAATTGCAGACCATAATTGATACACCGGGAGATGGGGATCAAATAAGGCTGGTGATAAACCCTTATAGTAGGTCTCCCCGCCTTCTGCTCGGCATCCTGGTAGCCTGCATCCTGGTAGAAGACGAGGCTGCCGTTCTTCACCTGTAGAGCGTTCAGCAAAGCCTAGGGTCCCGAAGCAAAGCGAGTCGAAAGGCCATGCCAAACAGTGAAACTCTGTTCAGCTGCTGGGTCGGGGGGTTGGGCTTCATGATAAATTGGAGCACCTAGGTTCAACGCTCCGGTCTGCTCGTGGCCACTTGGGAGTTACCAAACTAGATTATTTGACCAACGAGGCTGCCACAGTTGAGTTGAATGAGAACGGCAAAGCCCTGATAGGCCCAGGCGATGCCACAGGCAATTCCGGCGAAGTGCTTCATGCGGCAGCGCCACTGCAAGTACCTGGCAGCCAACACTCCTGAAGATCGAGCCATCAAGCTAAACGAACAGGCTCAACTAAACACCGAACCACCACCCTGAGCCTAAGTTTTCAACACCGACTCACGAAGCAACCCCAAACACCGGGACTCCGGACGGTGCTTGGTACAAAATAAAGGCAGGCCTCAAGAGGCTCCGGGGCCTGAATCCCAGAATCGGCCATCTTCAGAGATGTGCAGAGCACACTCGGCTGCTACATGTAGCTTTTGAAGCTTCGAGAATGTGAGAGTGAAGCTCTCATTGAGCGTTCAGGAGGGCAACATGTGAACTCTGGTCCCGATAGACTCAGAACATCCACAGACCTGAACCATGCCACTCGTGGCCTACGGTTGTTTACACTTCAAGTGGTGGCGGCGGTGGCATGACACGCGTGGGTTGGGGGCGTTGTTCAAAGGGCTTCCGTTCATTGTAAGGAACATATATTGGTGCCAGCAAGAATGCTGGACATGATCGCAATACTCCCATGGCGATACTGCTCCAGTAATCACTTAAGCTTAGCGCTGTCGACCCCGAACAAACGACACAGCCCAAAAACCTTTGCACCCAGGGTTTGGAGATGAAAGTGGCCAAGTTTCATCCCTGAGAGCTAACACTCTCTCATCCGCTTCCCCGGATCCGACAGACTCCAATGCCTTCCTACATTCAAACCTCGTAAAACGCCAGTACATTAGTCATTAGTCTTTTTTCGCCCAGATTCCTAAAGTCCGAAACCCGTGCACAGCACCCAAAACCCCAGAAAGATGTGGAGCTCACTGTCGAACTCGCTCTAAAGGCTCGCCATCCATGCCTGGTTGGTTCCGGATGGCTTGCTTTGTCCTAGAGTGATCGGGCTGGGCTCTATGGAGGTTCTCGGGCTCTAAGATTCAAGGGTTTCGGCTTGCCGGGCTTCAGTTGTTGAGCAAGATGACTTTACTTGCAGAGCACGCCCGAAATTCAAGACTGGAGTCCGTAAATAGCAAGTGGACAGATCATCACCCCTTTGACGAACGACTCTCATGGTTGAACCAATCACCCGAACCTTCACATGCAATCTGGGGGGTTGCGCCCGCCCTGTAACTCGACCCAGGTGTCAAACGGAGCAAATTCAGAAAGGCGCCACTTCTCAAACCGAAGCACCGCACACAGAAAGGGACCTGAGTGCGAAAAGAAAATGAACCTTTGACAGAATCTCTACGCAATCGGTCCCGTGGTACCCCCGAAACCCCAAAGCAAGACCGTCAAAGAACCCTCAACTCCAGGTTCACTTCAGAATCCCTGCGCCCGAAACCCTGGATGTATTGAGCACCAATATGCAATCGATTTGGCCATGGCTGCGGAAGAATCATGCTCGTGGCTGGTGTGCACGTGTTTCGAGAGGTCGGTTCGTATGTGTTACCTCAAGAAGCTCGGGTTAAAGGTCCGTCTACGAATCTGCAGTCGTCAACTTTCCGTGCTGCGCAATTGGCTGAGGCGAGCAGAGGAAGGCAGGGTGTTGGTCGTGTCCCACCGCAAACACACGTTTTTCACAAGGTCCGCGGAAAGCAGGCTCAGCACCCTTTTCTGCTTGCCCCCCACCGCCCCACCCCCCCCGCCCGTCAACATTGAGCGGTCATTGCAATCCAAGGGCCCCACAAAAAGCATGCAGGCTACACCTTCGCACTGGCCGGCCAAGGGAGCAACCCTCTCATGCTATCGGGTCAAAGTATACCTGGCGACCGTTCTCTGCGCCAGCATCCTGCGCACGGCCAACTTCCCTTTGCAAGAGCCACAGCAGCCCTCGATTCCTGCAGCTGTTTTCCATGCTGGCCATGCAAAGGTATGAGCACGGCTGGCTGTGCCAAGCTATTTGCGCTCGTGCCTTTGCGTGGCCAAAGAACCATACCAAGTCGAGACCCAGCGAGACTGCTGACGGGCGCAAGAGTCTTTGCCAAAAAGCACTTCGGAAATTTCCACTCGCAGAAAATCCCCTGCCTTGCAGGGTTTAGGAATTTAGGGCTGTGAAGGCTTTAGGCTGGAGAACTCGGCTGTAGGTTCCATGACGAGAGCCAAACCCACAACATCTACAACCCTCAACCCCACAGAACTTCGCAATCGCGGGAACTCTCAGCTCCTCTCGACCCGTGCCTGGCCTACGGCATCGGGCGCGCAGCCCGGCCAGGCTGGGAGACGCCCGGTCTCGCCAAGCTCGGATTGAGTAAGGGTTTCTACGTGCATATACGCTAGGATAACATGGCACAGTGACCCACGAGGGTAGCAGGAGGAGCAAGAGGAGGAGTGGTAGCAGGTGTTAGTAACAGATCTTTAATGTGAACGCCCAAACCCACCAACCCAAGCATGTCTTGATGGCATGGAGAACGGAGGAGAGGGGCAAATTTTTGCAGGCCGGTCAGAGGCGCATAAGGTTCCGAGGCTTTGAGGGCCTCATGGCTTCTCCGGCTTACGGGCGTCGTCCATGAAGGTTAAACCCCGGACAGCTTGGAAAGCGTGTCTACCACGAAAACGGGTGAAGCTAGATGGATAAGAATCGCTTTCGCCTGGATGGGCTCTGCTGGGAGCTCTTTGGTTTTGGCGCCGCGCCCTGGAGTCCTCCCGAAGATATGGGCCGCAGCGAAGGTAGCTTTGAGAAGGGTTCGTGAACGGCTTAAGGCCCTGGGGGTGTTTAATGGGCGACCTTTCAAGCTCCATGACATTCGGTTGAGTATGTGTTCTGACTACACTTGCTCATCTTCTCATTTATTTATTGTCCTCTTCGGATCGTCAAATGCCTTCTTCCATGGGGATCAAGGTTCTCTCGCTCTGACAATCCGACTCGGCCGGTGAGCCTGCGCCTATGGCTTTAGGGGGTTTGCCCGCAGGATCCTTGAATAGTCCTCATGGCAGCCCCTACAAGTACATACTTCTGCGTTGAAGGACAGCATCATTAGACTCAAAGGACACTTCGCAGAGACGCAACACGGAAACAGTAAGGCAACACATCGCTTGAGCAAATGCAGGACGATGCAAGACTTGCATTCAACAGAAATGGAGACATACGACGGCATGCAAAGCTGGGCTGGCCTCAACAATAACTGTTAGCCGAAACCTTCCAAGAGTGTTCGACACCCTCTTCATTATACCGTCTCCCTCAAAACCTTCTGTCTTAGAAGTCCTCCGGACCACCGTCCTTCTCCGAATTCGTAATCCCTATGCGTCCTAGACCCCAAACCGTGAGAATTTGTTTCAGCTTGAAAACGGGTACTGCTGCCTCCAGGCCGTCGACCTGTTCGCAGAAGGCTTTCGGCCAGGTGCTTGAAGCGGTGATGTGGGGCTTTCATGGATTCGAAAGCATCAAGGAGTTTCGGCTCTCATACTCGGACAATCCAGGCGGGTTCGGAGTCTGCTGTGTGAAACTCATCAAGGAGTTTAGGGCTTGAAGCTATAGTCAGAGCGGTAGATCTTATAGAGATGAGGTTCAGAGCTCTTGTGACGAAGGGGCTTGGAGTTGTGGGTTCAATCGGTGCGTGCTCGCTTTCGCTTTTGCTCTCTCTCTCTCTCTCTCTCTCTCTCTCTCTTTGTGCATCGGCCCGGCGCTGAAACCGTTCAAACTCACTTTCCCCGTCATTCGCACGAGAATGGGCCAGGCGAAGGTTGGCTAAGTTCGGATGCGTTTGGTCTTGGATCTTCTTGGGTTTGGGGGTTCAGGGATTCGGACGCAAAGCTCGGGTCTGAATTCTAGGGCTGCTAGGATTAACTCTCACATCTCCGACAAGCTTCTGTGCCTTGGATTCTTTTGTTACGGAACCCTCGGCCGAAGTCCTCAACCGAAGGGCGCGAAAGACCTGTAGACCACCTGGTAACCTTGATGCGAACATAGGCATACTCGTTCCAAAGTAGAGTCCCTGTCCCAGAGCATTGCCATCTTATGCCGTCAGCACAGGATTTAAAAGATTCGTCATGCGACAAGTGCTCTATGAAGAGCTTTAATTTGCTTTGCAGGAGGTTTTCGAAATCGACTCTTTGGCGACATCTGCCTAGCAGACCTTCTTGGAAACCTACATGAGGTCAAAAGGACAGCAGGCCAGGTTCCAGGGTGCCGGGCAACTCCTCAAAGAGCTTCTTGGCAGCTGCAGTCTTCGTGGAACACAACAACACCTCCAAAATACACCAAGTGCATCGCATCTGCAAATGAGGCCCAGCACTAAACCTAACCCAAAGCGGATGTTTTGGATGTCGAAAAGGAGAGACCAGCCAACGAGATCATCAGTGTCTGGCTTAGCTTCGGCTTCACTTAGATACTTACTTAGGCAGAAGAATTCCTTCTTCGGGGTTTCTAGGACTTGCAAATTGGCATCTCTGGGCTCGTGGCCAGCCGATTGAAGAGCTGGGCGCCCACGGTGCTGCCATTCACGAGAGGCTCCATCTGAGAAGGGCAGTTTCTTTGGCGCTTCAGAGCAATCGGGTCTTGGGATGAGCTGCTTTTTAGCTGTTGCCTCCCCAATGCTTTCGTTGTCGTATTAGACGAATTTCGCAACGCTGCCAACACGAGTTTCGGCAGATCGGCTGTGGGCTCGGGATGTTGTGCAAGGCCTGTTGTCGATTGAATAGCAGTAGACATACGAACAAGACGCTGGTACTGAGGTAAAACGACTGTAGACGGAATACACGTAACACCCGTGCCTACAACGATTCGTGCTAACTTCGCCTGTATCTCTAGCGACTGAGTAGCTGCTGCTTCGTTTGAACACTCTTGTTTGGACTCTGTTAAGCACTGCAAGCAGTGTCGGTATGCGAAAACTTCGGCATGCTGCACCAGATATGCAGCACCAGGTAGCCAAGCATCGAGCATCTTAGTGCTCGGCGTGGTTTTGCTTTTTTCGATGTTGCTTCTGAAGCCGCCACCACCAACTACCAACACCAGCACTGCCAGTGCCACTGTGAGGAAAGTCCCGGGGCTCACAATAGTATACTGAGCCCCCAAAACCGTAGGGCCCGGACCCCAGCTTGCTTCAAGAGCGGAGCGGAGAACTTTCGGAGCTCCTCGAGTATTAGGAGCTCTGGAGCTCGTTAGATTTGGGAGTTTCCGAAAAGAGGGGGCCCTAAAAAAAAGCACCCTAAATAGTAGGATCCTGCTTGCAAGGGTACCAAAATAAGGTACCCCTAATGTTCGGAAACTCCCAAATGGAGGGGTGGTCATGTGACTGACAAAATCAAGAACACCATTGAGTAGCTGCGACTATATACCGATACCAAACTGTGATTGCCCCCTGCTGAGAAACTCGCGTGCCAAAAAAGTGCTTATGCTTTGAACGACGCAGTCCTCACTTCGCAAGACCGTCATCAAGAATCTGGCTAAACTTCTCTGCTACCCACTTAGCCTGCGCAGCCTTGCCCAGGACGTGATCTGAGATGTCTTGTTTGCGGGGACTAGGATCCCCCGGCTCGAAGACCTGCCCCTCGAAAGCTCGCGTCGACAAGTGGGGCTGGGTGTCCCCGAAACACCTTAAGCTCAAGACGGCACTCGGGTCATCCAGTCCAGATACAGCTACAGGAGAGGTTCAACTTTCCTTCAAGACTCTGCAGACCACCATGATCCCTCTCTCTGTCTCTCTCTCTGTCCTGGGCTTGGGGGCTTGTCACAGCCCCCGGGCTTAAAGGTCTCCCTCTCTCTCTGTCTCTCTCTCCCCTGAACATATTGAAACCCCAACATGTTTACACCCCACTCTCGCGCGTTCAAGATCCTAACTCAGGTCGGAGCAATCGTGGCACTCAGTGCTGAGAGCCTGTTTCACCGGCGGCCTTCACTAGCCTACTTTAGACTTTTTTCACGCTACCAATTCCAGCCCAATTTCCATTTCCCTCTCCCAGCCGCACCTCCTGGTTGTCAAAGCCTAGAAGCTTGGCAGCCTTTGCCACAGTCATGTGGACCTGGCCCGATCATCATCTCCGAGACCAGGCACTGAATCGTAAGCATACTCGTGTGGGCTGTCTCGACATGGACAGCTACCCAGGTCTGTATCTCTATCTCTCGACCCCACTCCATGCGTCCCCCTCTACCCCTCTCTCTCTCCCTCCGTCATTCCACGCTCTCTCTCTCTCTCTCTCTCGCTGTCTCTCTCCCTCCCTCCCTGTCTCCGGCAGCTCGCCCACGCTACGAGTATCTTCCGTACCTGCCTCTCTTTCGCTCTGTAACGCTTTCTTCTGTTCTCTCTCTTGCTATGTAAGTATTATACATAATCTGTATTAATATATATATATATATATATATATACACACACACACACACACACTTACGCACACACACACACACACACGCACACGCACTTATGGGTTTGCCGGCCTTGGAACACTCGGATTGGCCAATAGGCTGAAAAGGTCAAAGGTCTGTGAATTACGTTTCTTTCACACACATGGGAAATCCATCTGTATATTACTTATTCCTATACTTACTTACTGCCTTACACACACATATACACACTCGTACACAGACACACATGGACACATACATAGACACACACCCACACATGCACACCGACACACCTCCATCCATCCATCCATCCATTATTCCATCCAACCATGCATGCATGCATGCATACCCTTCATGTCTATACATACATACATACATACATACATACAGGCAGACAGACAGACAGAGATATATGCATACGGGTTTATCTATGTGCGTGTGTGTGCGCGCAGAACAGGCAGAGAGCGCACACCGAAACCCGCTTGGGTGAGTATACTTGTACTGCATGCACAATTTGCATATAGCTATACAGTCGCCTGTACATGGTGCTGTTCCATCTACTTAACGCATGTCTTCCATTTCGTGCTGCGGAGTTGGGGCAGAGAGAGAAGAGAGAAAGCCTCGACACCACCAATAGCTCCAAAGTTGAGGACACGAACTACGCTGACGGCGACTATCACAATCATAATCTGGATTCCTAGTCCAAATCCTGTTTTTCTGTAGCTCCCAAGCGAAACCGCCCCACTTCCGGCCAATTGCAAGAAAGCACAGCCAAACCCCATCCCTCCTGGCGCCTGTGGCTGTGCAAAGGAAGGAATGGCCGAAATCGGCACCTTAACAATTCGGCATTTCAACAGGCTTTCAGGATTATCTAGACTTCCAGATCCCAGCATAGTAAGCCACTTAATACACCGTGGTGCCAAGATGGCGCAAACCAAAGAAAAAAAACCTATACCTGTCAGGCTCGCATGCCCGCAAGTAACCTGCGACTAGGGCCTAGGGCGTGAGATTTTAAGAATCAGCGGCCTGTCATCCATAGGTCTTCCGACTGGGGTCTCGTGCACGCCGAAAAAGGAGGGGGCGGCAAGATATCTTATGCGAGCTTTTGGGCTTACACCCGTCAATCTCTGGAATGCATGAATGTATATATCGATACAGTGCATGACAACCTCAGTATGAGCGGGGCATGGAAAGGTAGATGCCATGAACAAACTGTGGAGGTGGAAAAGCCAGGCTGGGCACCTATATGACTGTTCCACGGACAATCGAGCTATGAAGGGAGTCAATCCGAAGGGCCCCCTGTCTGTTTATGCGCGTGTGTATCTATGTATGTATGTATGTAACATATGTATATCTCGATGGATATAGATATAGACGTAGATGAAACTTCAATGCTCCGCTGCTCCATCAGTCTGCAGCAAGTGGCTACAATTCATTGGCTGTAAGATGATGTAAGATGAGGGCAGGACCACAAGACTGCCCCAAGCCCAAGTAGACAGAAAACCAGAGGCCAGGATGAAGTGAGAAAGAGAAAAGACAAACACAATGGAACAGGAAGCGGTGTTGGCACGCTTGTGTTGACGTGACCGCGATCGTGGACTGCTTCGAAACCAGTGACACCCTACACCCAGTCTGCTTCACCCCGTCCATCCCAGCACCGTTACGACTAACGCCGACAGGTGCTGCTAGCCTCTACACGGGTGGCCGCAGGGGTAGCATCGCTGGAAGCCTCCTGCAAGCATTGCAAATGTTCAAAGCACCTTCTGCCTAGCCAAACCCGGTCTAGTCAAGTAGCTGCAGCATGGGCTCGACACCCTCGGATCTAAGGTTAATCAGTGCTTCTTGGCATTGGGGCAGTAGGAATGCATTGAACCCTGCTCCACTCCTTCCCCGCCATCGTCTGCCACAAGCTGCGGCCCAGGATATAAAGAAGATCCACACACCCACACAAACACCCTTGGTCAGGCTTCGGAGGATAAACATGCGTGGTGCTCTACAACAACTCGTTGCCAACGAATGTGATGATCATTCCTCTTGTTGCTCACCATGAACAGCATGTGCTCCCAAGCGATTGCAGGGGCCATAGCCAGGAAAAAACGATTGAACCGCAAAGGTGCCATGTGCAAAACACTAGGATGTTGCAATGAGGCGCTTGCAATTCACAAAACGCAACGCAAGCAACAAGAGCGTTGATAAAGACACCCAAGAACATGGACTGCACAAAATCACAATTTGCTGTTGCGACTACTACAGCAGCACCACCACAAGCACGGCTTACACTTGCTGCTGCGACTAGGCGACGGCTCCTTCCTGGGACCCCTGGTCACGACAAAAGCTCATGTTCATTGAGTGCTGTTCACGACAAACATGTATGTCGCCGCTTTAACTTGAGACTTGTCTATACTGACTTTCTCTCTCGCTCTCCCTGGTGCTGCTTGGCGTGCTGCTGGCCAACACTGTTGTCCCAAAATCATTTGCTGTTGGATCGGGCTTTTGCTGTCTCACGGACGCTAGGCCTTTTCGGATAGGCCTGACATGGCCCTTCGCAATTTCCTATCGCCCTGACTATGGCAACCCACGATGATCGATGATTCTACCTTCCCTTGAGAGGCTGGGGATCTATTCTTCACTTTTCCGGTTGATATGTTCGACGTTCTGGAAATTTTGGTTAACACTGTGGTATTGGAACGTTGACCTGCAGAGGCTGCCGCTATCTATTGTTACCGCTTCCGCTACAGCTACTGCTGCCGCTGCAGCCGCTACTAAACGACGAGAACTGGCACTACTACTACTACGACTACGACTACAATTCCTACTGCCACAACTACTCACTACTCACAAGTAGGCTACTGCTACGACGACCACTACGAGTACGAGAAAGACTGCAAATGCGACTGCGTACGTCCCCGACTAAGACTACAACCACGACAACTACTACACCACTACTAAGCCGCAGCGCACTTTTCGCAGGAGCGCTCAAAGAAAGTCACGCCACAAGTTTTGATGGCGATGACGGCCGCCCAGCCTCCAACCGATCTGGCGTTTGGGGCTTTTGGGTTGCATGGTTTTTTGCTCCCTCTCAACTAGCTGACTAAAGTTGTTTCAGGGCTGTTGCAGGTATAGAGTTTACGCAATATCACAAGTTACCCTGGGACCTGTGTTGAACTTTGCTGAAGACTCCTAGGATAACAAACCCCGGGCTTCCCTCGAGTACGGTTGCCGCTTGCATAAATCTCCAACCTGATCCGGAACTCGGGAGTCCGGTGCTTCAAGCCCTAGCTTAGCTTCCGGGTTCCAGAATTAGGTTACCGCTCCAGGTCTCCACTTAGGTCACTCAGCCGTTTTTGCTTTGCAGATATGCAGCCACAACTGCACGGATCAAGCCGCGAAAGCGACGTCTGTCTTTGTGTGCCCTCTCTGCAACTTAAGAGTCTGGAATGCACTCACAGCCGGTGCAGTTGACGTCAAAGTAACCTGGCAGGGCGGAAGGTAGATGAAGTCCTGCGGTCTAACATGACATCTGGTTTTTTGAGGGTCTTCATGAGGGTTTTATCGCCTCCTACTTCGCAAGGACGAGCCTGCAGGGTTTGAAGTTCAGGGGTCGCGGTCGGGGGCTGGAGTTCCAAGAGGGTTTAGACGGCGTACCCTGTGAAATACGGGTTCCAGGATCTTAGTCTTGGAACCGTTGTAAATCATCGGGCGGTCGTATCAACCAGAAGCTTCCAACCACGCGAGCCCTGACTTTCACATCACGTCCCTGGGCCTCTCAAATGCTCTGTTCGAGCTTCCCTAACTGCAACAGAAACCGGCGAAGCCAGCCGCGAATGATCGGATCAGCAGGTCCCGAAACGGCTAGCTTCATCTGCTTCTTTTAAACCCGGCTCGCCTCCTAAGCACACCTAAGCAAGTCCCACAGCCCTGATTCTCAACCGAATTTGTCTGGTTGAGGGTGGTGGCTAAACGAAGTTTTGTCTAAACAGCTGACACCGCCAGGATCGGTCAAACTTGAAACTGCATGTCCCAGCCCTTGTTGCAGGCAGGCGGCGGTGGCTGTGAAGCGACGGTCCAGCTGCTACCGGACAACCCGTCTCGTTCTCGTAGCTGCAAAGGTGATCTCTTGGACAGTGGCAGTCTCCCTCACTGTCCTGGGCTTGCTGTGCCATTCAGGGGTCTTCAGGTCCTGTAGGGCTACGGTGCAATCTATCCCAACACCGGATTATTGGCCTTTCTATGGTTCGCGGTGCTCCTTTGTCGATTTGTGGCCGCTACTTGCAGCTCAACATCTAGATTTACAGCTTCAGTTTCTGGAGGGCTAGTTAGGCTTTGGGAAGCGGTTGGATCTACTCAGAAGGCACAAGCTTTGAAGTCACACTGCTGAGCCAGACTACTTCTTATGCCAACTTGAATGAACCCAACTAACGAACTGGTAGCTAACCCCGGTAGCATAAAGTAGGTCTCCGTTTCTGCCTGTCTCTGGGAAATACATGTCCGGAGCGAATGCTACCGGGAATGCTAAGGATTGAAGGGTCCATAGTTACCACCAGGCCCAATACCGATATCACTGCAACCAAATCTGCTATTGCCCCTAATCGCTTCCCCTATTTGATACACATTCTGTCAAATGCATAGAACAGTTTGGGTGCCACCAACGCCTACTCTGAATTTCGGGGGGGGGGGAGTGTTCAAGACTAGTTCCCATGTGCACAGCAGAGCTCCCTGACTGTCAAGCTTCCAACACAGCGTGATCCCTTCACTCCGTTTCTATGTCTGTCTGTCTCTAATTTCTCTTATTGCTGAAGTTATTGTTACTCTTACTATTCGTATTGCTCACTATTTACCACATATTGTGTTGTGAACACAACAAAGTTATCCCAAGTATGACACTGGAGATGAACCTCTTCAATGGTGAAATCATGCTCCAAGTTCTCGTTAGGGAGCCCTGTTTGATGTTAGGGACATGCGAGTACTACGACAACGACGAGAACGTCCACCACCAGCACCACCAGCACCAGTACCAGCACCACTCCTGCTCCTGCTCCTACAAGTACTTCTAACAGAAGTATATGCGCAGTACTTGTCTCTAGTAGTGGCACCAGGACCAGTCAGTACATGGAACAGGAGCAAAGGCATGGCAGGGATGGCCAGCTGCAAATCAAGCAGCTGGGGCCTTTGTCAGCGCTGATGAAGGGCACCGGATAGTTGCCTGAATTTCATCTGTCGCGCCTAACTCACCATCTAGACGGACATTAGCTTGAGTTGCCGATGGCATGCTCCTAAGGTTCCGGAAGAGCAAACTATCTATTCATTGTGCGAATGCTGGAACCTTCTTAAATTTATTACCCAGCTTATGCTCACAAGTTCTGAAAATACCTCCCTGGTCAGCGTTCATAAAACCATGGCGAATTGCTACAAAATAGGCCTGCTGTTTGCAACCCGCCCAAACTTTGGGCTGCTTCAGTAGCACGAGCATGCCTCAACACCTAAGAGATTCTCCTACACGACTCCCCAGTCGTCCTTGACCACGTACAAGTGTGTGAGAAAACGGAACCTCGACATAGACCTTCAATGCTCGGATACTTCTTAGATTATAGAGACCTGTCAGTCTTAGGAGGCTCCCGCATCATTCAGGCTTCATTCGCCTCCTTCCAGCTCGGTCTTGTAGGTCTCCGCGTGCAAAGGCACTCCGAGCAAGAGGAGTGGAAATACAAGTCGCTATACCTTCCAGTCTGCCGTGTCCTTGGCTCTTGGAGGCCCTGCTTTGCAAGATCA